TTCATTGTACATGATTGTATAATAATTAAAAATCTCTTTAATACTTGTAATATGAAATAATTTTAGTACTCGATCAGTGACAATGTATATTTACCAATGAACTGAAGGAGATAAAGGAAGCATCCAACAAGCTTCTGTTCTGGTTCCTCTATGCTGCTATTGTCTCCTTATCCATCTCTGAAAGAAAGTCTATATACACTTGCTAGTGACGCTGATATTAAGTRTTGCATGCTTCTCTGTTCAGGTTGGCTCGACCAACATCAGTCACATGTTGACACCCAGAGGGCGTGTCTACGCAGAAATGACTGTGTCAAGAATAAGTGACAATCATTTCTTTCTGTTAACTGGAAGTGGATCAGAATTCCATGACCTCAGGTAACAAATTAATTTAACCAATATGGTAACAATAGCCTTGACTCCTCTGTAGGCAACTTGACTGAATTCCTTTGTCATAATTATAAGTATTGGAAAGGGAAATTCCCCTCACCAATATATTGAGTAATTTATTGTTGACAGCATCTTTTATAACCCACAGATGGTTGATGGACCATGCTCGCAAAGGATCCTATGAAGTCTCCTTTGATAATGTAACMGATCAGATTGATACATTGGGTGTGGCTGGACCCAAAACCCGAGATGTGTTGTCAAAGCTTACCACAGAGGATATGAGCCACAAGGGTTTCAAGTTCTTAGCTCACAAAGAGATTGAGATGGCTGGAGTTCCTGTCCGAGCTATGAGAATATCATACACTGGTGAGATATTGTGCCTACTTTGCAAGCAATTTACATTACTCAACAGGATTCTTATGTTAAGAGGGTTTAGGAGATGTCTGATTCATCATCATCATCATCGTATTCCCCTTTACAGAGAGAATTGTTTCCTAGGGGTGCGTTCATAAAACACTTAAAGTTCTCTCTGTCCATTATCCGGCACCTAATCTGCTACGTATTCATGCCAAACAGTCTTTCTAGCCATGTCCACTTTGGGGACTGTGCATCAAATAACAACTGATTTCTGACGTTTGCATTGTCCATCCTGGAGATGTGTGAAATGTATAGTATTTCAATTGATGAGAAATACAGATGGATTTTGTTTGTTTGTTTTTCAGGTGAATTGGGTTGGGAGCTGTACTGTAAAAAGGAACACACTCTACAGCTCTATGATGCAATTATGGCTGCTGGTGAAGAATATGGTATTGGAGATTTTGGTACTTTYGCTATGAACACTCTTAGATTAGAGAAAGGCTTTAGGGCCTGGGGACTAGAGGTGAGAGATGGTAGAATGTGTATTTTGTCTGTCTGTTGTTTATACGTCTGTATGTCATATTTTTTATCTCGTATTTCAATAGATGAATTTAGATTGTACTCCGCTTGAAGCTGGATTAGACTATTTTATCAAATTTAACAAGGTAATATAGTGACTTATATAAATTACAATATTTTTTAAAATAATACTTGTTTACATACTGTAGGTTTAGCTTTTATGATAAAAAAAAAAATGTCTCAGTGCTTTATCTGTGCTAGGTGCCTATAACTACAGTTGGGTTTACACTATTGGTGTTCTATCGCGCCTTGAGTTTATATTATAATGATTATATTTGTTCATAATTTAATTTTTACCACTGTTTGTGTATAGAAAGCAAATTTTATAGGCAAAGAAGCTCTTCTCAAGCACAAAGAAAATGGCATCCAAAAGAAGCTATGTTTTTTAACTGTTGAAACAACAGATGCCGATCCTGAAGGCAATGAAACGATATGGTTTGGTGGAAAGGTACATTGTATGCACTAATAATAATATAAACGAATGCAATGGTTTTGATGAAACATTTAATGCTACATGTACTTAGCACACATGTAGCACACATGTAGTGTTTTAGCCGGCAAATATAAAACTCATTTGTAGCATTTCTTTCTTTCTTTTTCTTATAGGTTGTTGGTAACACAACTACAGGCACATATAGCTACACACTCAAAAAGAGCATTTCATTCGCATACCTCCCACTTGAACTAGCAGAAATTGGCTCAAGAGTAGAAGTAGAGATACTTGGGGAGAAATGCCCTGCTGTKGTTGTCAAAGAACCTCTGTTTGACACAGAGCCTGTGAGAACACGCAAAGCCAACAAAAAACAAATCTATAATTAATTGTAATTTTATTACATCAATAGATATATTAATGTGTAAATTTTATATATAGTTTTGAGGATTTGTAACAATAGTAAGGGTACTTGGCCAGGAAACTTAATGCAATTTTGTGATATTGTGTAGTGAATTACAGTGATAAATTCATGGTAAATAGCAGGTTAGACATATTATCAAATTGGCTTCTCATAAAGATACTCCATGAAAAATCAGTTTGACCAGAAAAACTGGATTTCACATTTGTCATGTTTTTTTTTTCTTCTTCTGGTGGCCTTGACACAGGAGTCCCAAATGACTAGTAGAGCCCTAATGCCTGTTGTTTCATGGGCCTTTACTTGGGTACTATAATTGTTTTTCAACAAGTTTCATAATCAGCTTCAATATACAAGTACCTTGCTGTCGCAAAAGCACTGTCTGGTTTCCTGGTAATGCTTAAAATGCCCTTAAATACATCCTCAGCATCTGAATATCCATGAATGTATTATTGTTCTTAATTAAATCATTTTAAGTGGCATTTAAAACAATATCCAGACGATAACCAGACAAACCCTCACAATAATAGTAGTCTTGGTAACCATCAAAAATCTAGGAAATATGTTTGCATGTATTTTATACAAATGTTAAAAATAAAAAGATTTTGTACTAAATTCTCAATACCTGAAATTAAAGGCAAACAGAAAAATTTGCTCTTAAACTTGTAATTTGGTGTTTGGTTTTGTCAATTTACCCAATTCACGGTTCATTATCAGTGTATAAAAAGGTTTGGCTTCAGATCCTTATTGTCCTCTATTCTCCTGCATTTCACTTTTTTTCATTTCCTGTGTTTCAAATTCTAATTGTTCATTACTGTTGTCAACATCAGAGTCTGACTCMAGACTTTCATCTGAGCTGGAAAATGTTTCCTGTAAATTATGCTGCCGAGTGGACATATCACTGTTTTGTTTACTATTATGGCTGGATGAAGTGTTATCTTCCTGGCCTGACTTGTTTTCAATTTTATTATTGCCATCATTAGATGGATTTATGTTACTGCTATCTTTATCATCACTATCATCATYGTCACTCTCAGTGCCGTAACTTTCATCGCTGCTACTCAACTGTGGTTTAAGCTTTGTTKTRTAAACTGCCTTTTTTTCCTGACTTTCATTCTGTTCTTGTTCATTTTTCTGAGTTGAACTCTCCTCTTTGGAAGCACTAGTTCCTGCAGCTTGATTTCCACCAGTGATTTGTCTCTGTGTATTYTGTTGTGTAGGTGTATTTTGTCCAACAGCAGAGGTATATTCAGGTTCAAGTTGTGAKTTTGTTTGTGGCTTTTCTTCTATGTGCCCTGTTCCTGATTGCAGTGCTTCAAGCTCTTCCTCTAGTTCATGGATACTTTTGGCTGTCGCTGTTATAAAAGAAAATAATTACATGAAATGTAAGACAATTTGATGTTCATCTATTTTTCTTAATTAAAAAATACACAAAACTAAACATGTTCCTCACCTTTAAAAGCATCTCCATATTGCTTTGTCAACTTAATCTTCAAATTTCTTATGAAAGAAAAGAAAAGATTTCTTTGCAGCAATTTAAGAATAGAGTGGTTTTCATAAACCGGTGAAACAAAGTGTAAAAATTAGAGTGTAATAGATCGTAAAMGTCGCGTAGAGACAATAAAAACAAAAGAGCCAAAGTGTAACTCTAATATGAATAAGTGAATGGGAGAATAAGTGAGTGAATGGAAAATGAATGGGAAAGGACATAAATGGATTTCTGTGATGGACAAATGAATACAAAACMATAGGTAAATAATCAATTCATACCTTATTCTTCTAAACACAACATCCAAATCTTTTTTCATRTCAAGTAACATCTTGGTATGGTTCTGGAAATGACTGTGCAGCCTGTTGTAGCGTTCAGCTGACAATCGATTGAATTTGTCAAACTTTTCATTGGTTTTCTCGAACTTTGATAGTCTAAAACRACACAAAATTGTRAAGAGYTATCAGCTAAAATTCAAATCARAAAGAACTGCCCCTCAAGTGTTTATATCAATACTATTTAATAACAATAAGATAGAAAGAAACGGAAATGGCAAAGAAATCTTACGTCTCTGATTGCATTGATTGAATGATATCAACATCCTTCTGAGAAATCATTCCGCACATTGTTTGACAGAACGTGTCCGAAGCTGACGCTCCAGAAGCGGGCATTGCTTTTTCTTCATCTTTAACTTGCACCTCTTCCATTTTAGTTGCTTAAAAAACGAAAATTCTATGAAATAATACGGAAAAGCATGTTCCAACTCTTCACTGTGGACGCCATGTTATCTTTATGTGTGGGTTTCCTTTGTTGTATGAGAACGCGTGGGCTTGGATAAATTACCGCTGACTCAGAAAACAAACTTTGGCGGGAATGAAATTTGAGAAAAGTTGTGAGAAAAGTCTTATTTTCAACGATGTAAAACTCTCTAAGGTGAACTTATGTCAATGGTTTAGTGTCTTTAGATTTTATTTGTATAGTTAGTTKTTAATATATGCAAGAATGTGGGTGAATAAGATCGAGTTCACCCCCCGGTAGTCGGGTCACTCTTCACAKACAGCGATTGTTCATGGATAATTCATCAGATACTGCTCAAGTTTCGCTATATTTTTACGAGAATTTGAGATGGAATCCTCAAAAACTAAAGTAAGCAAGAACAGGAGTTTATCCCTAACCCGTAAAAAACGCAAAGCTGATGACAAAGATTCAAAATCAGATGTTTTAGAAAAATCAAAGACTCCAAAAAAACTTCACAAAACTCCTRAWAAGTCGACTGTKGACGAGCCAGCTCTTCATTTGAATCGAACTATTACTGACTGGATTAGRAATCCAGMCCGAGAGAGACGTGTTCGCTGTCCTGTTTGCAACTGCAAAGTTTTACATTCAAATATAAATAACCATTTGGATGCAGGGTGTGAAGACAAAGATTTGGTTAAGGAACTCCATGTAGAAGAGAACGAGAACAAAATTGCCAAAAAATCAAAGCTAGACTTGATATCAAAAAATAAATATACAACAAAGAATTTGAATARGSCTGGTTACACTGAAATCCTTGTAAATAAAACCTCTGAAAGCCAAGAAATTTGTATAGTTGACAATGTTGAAAAGAGAAGTTTAGAGAACAGTTCAATACAAGTAAMAAAGAAATTGAGAAATTCACATGATGTAGGATTGTCCAACAAGGATATTTTAGCAACTGGTAAACCATGTAGGTCTGACAATTTATTTYCATCCCAARTCTCCTCTTTGTATGACAATGGCAACTCCTCGGAAGCTTCAAACACAGTTGAAACTACTACATGTGAATTGATGGAAACGTCACATGAAACAAGCTTTAATGACACTGCTGAACAAAATGAAAAACAAGACCCCTATTACTTGGCAAATTTCAAGCTTGTTGTTGACACCATTCTTTCCAATGATGAAGACAAAAGTTTRTTCAATGAAGCTGATATGAAAGTTATAAAAAAGTTTCAGGGTTTTCCCATAGAGTGTCAGAAGTTGTATATCAGACTTTTTCAAAGGAAACCTGGATGGTTYCGATGTTCGAAATTAGATTATCCAAAGATAGCAAAGGACTTGAATCCAGTATTGAGTCAGCTACAAAAATCAGGTACATGTATACCTATGTATATGTTAAATCTTATCGGTTACCCCTTTGTGCTTGACAACAAATGGATGGCTCCTTAGGACATAGTACTAAGGCTAAGTGCTGTAAGCAGTCTTGCCTTAGTAGATTATTGCAGGTTATTTCCCTTCCTAATCAAAACCCATTTTGCATACATATGAAATTAGCCTCCTCTGCAGAATCACAGGTTTCCTGTCTTTTTGGGGAGTCAAAAGAATCTTCTTCTTATTTTGCCTTTCTAGTCGCTAGTCCCTAACGGCCAAAATGACCATTAAAAAGGAAGTACAAAGGAGGAAAAAAGAGTTGCCTGGGAAAGAGGCTAAGATGAAAAAGTCTTAACTCCAAAAGTACTTCTAGTATTTTGTATTAATATGCCATTGAATAATTTCTTATAAACCTTTACCAGTTTGTGTTTTAAGAGTCTGTTATATGTTATTTATATACAGGTTTTCTTGAGAGTGACCAGTGCCTTACTGACCTATATGAGACACTGATGTTATTGCCAGTTGGTGATCTGAAAGAAATGGGAAAGTCTTTACATATCATTCACAATAAATCATCACAGGGACAAACAAAAAGTACCATAATTCAAACTCTGATCAAACATGGTAAAACTCAAAGAACTATATTTGGMAATGCATCATCCATTGTCTTGAAAAGGTAATCAGGAGAATTCAACAATCCCTTTTTTTCACATAGACTAATCACCAAACAATGAGAAGTTTTCCCAGTAGTCTCCTCGCAGCCGTTCTTAATGGCAGGCTCCCTGTCCCCAGCCCCGGGGGACAGGGAGCCCGCCACTAAGAATGGCTGCGAGGAGACTATTTTCCCAGTGGAATTGAAACTGTCTGAGCAACAAACATAAAATCGAATATTTTTACTAAATTCATTAGCCTTTCCTGATGAAAATGTAATAAAAGGCAAGTTCCTACATATTGCATCAATCATGGTACATTTGTATTTTTTCCATTCTCTATATCAAACGAATAATTTTCCATTTTCAACATAGCAACAGTAACTAGGGAGGTAGGGCAATGCATTGGGATTGGTCAATTAAAATATTGGTTTCTATAAACTTGTCACAAGTTTCTCTTATTCTTTACTTTTGAATGATGACAAAATTTACAAAATAAGTTTATATATTTTAAAGAGAAGTGTTTCATTAAATTTTTAAATATGTGGCTCATTGTGTAAAGGTAGCAGTATGCCAAACAATAAGGAGACATATTAAGCACTTTTAACAATAATTTTAAGTTGAAAAGAGACAAAGTTCCCTGGCAGAGTTGTAGTTATACATGCACTATAAAGAGCTACTAAAAAACAAATTCAAAAATTTTCCTACAGAGCAAAATCTGTTCTTGGTTCATGTGTCCGAGTGTCTCAAGATCCRAAGTTTGTGTTTCTTCGACTTCTGCTTCTGTTCACAATGAATATAATACCAGAGGATGAAGAAAACAAGCAGAATGGACAAGCRCAACAGTTGTAAGTTGCATTCAGTAGACAGATAGACTTCATGTTTGATAGGCAGATAGACAGAGAGACAGAGAATTGTTCTGCTGACTTGTTTTCCAACATGCAGACTAGCCTCGTCTCCAGGCAACTCTTTTTTTCTCCTTTGGGCTTCCTTTTTAATGATTATCTTGGCCGCTAGGGGTTACGTCTCCCCTCTCTTACCACAATAGCCGATTGGTGAATTTTGCCTGTCAGTAGTCAGTCTTGAAAAACTATTATCTTTTCACAAATGTCTGATCTTTATGCACGGCTCCTTATCTTGATTGCTTTGTTGTGACTACTGAGACAAAATTCGCATGTCGCCTATTCTCCCTCTTCTGACTCCCAAAAAAGACAGGAAGCCCACGATTCTTAGTGATGATGGCCGAGGAGGCTAYATTCAGGCCTATGAATAAAAATTTATCAAGACTCTCTGTGAAATTCTGTTGCTGTGGATTGTCATTCTGCTTGTATTACTAAAGGCTATAATTATGATTATGCTTACCTACATAGGTCAACAATATTCTTAGCTAACATTGGAAAGCTACAATACCAAGAATATGATATTTTAAGGTCACTGAAAGTATTTGAGGATCGAGACTACATGATAAAGTTTGCTAAAGCTTATCAAGACAAACATGAGATGTCTGCTGCACTTGAAGTGACAGGGGATTTAGACCTGGCWTACAGMTATTACCCAAATGCTGCTGAAATGTTTAAAAAGACAGTTTTGGATTCTTTGAAAGCCCCAAACAAGGTAACACAGTAAAATCAATACAGTCTGTTAAACATGTAATATTCATTAAGATTAAGTTCACTGTAATGAATCGTAAGGAAATCCAATAGTAGAAAGTAGAGCTGAAAGAAAGGCAGACATMTTTGAAGGAGACTATATACCTATCTATAATGCAATGTCAACTTTTTATCACAACTTTATTATCCCATTTATTTGATAAAATAATTAGTAAGTTTAATTTTAACACATGGAAAGAGAAACTTATTTTTCTCACAATTCACTTTCTTTCACAGCCATTCTCTGCCACTCTCCCGGTCCACTTGCGTTGCTTCTCTCCTGAGTGGGTCTACACAAAAATGTGTTACCTTGGAGTTGAGGTTCTTCAGAAAATGAAGCGATATGAAGAGGCTGTGGAGCAACTGCAACTTCTCCTACAACAAGATGTTTACTGCGCAGACTGCAGAGGGAAATGGTGGGAGAGACTAGCGCTRAACACTCACCAGCATTTGAAACAACCTCTTCAGGTATGTCTTGACAATTTGAAAAATTAAATAATTTAATTAATAAATTTGATTAAATGAATAATACAATTTGTTATAATACAATTTTGGTTCTGATGTGGTTGGCATTCAAACTCGAAACAGTAATATTGAAGAATACGGTAATCAATTTTTTAGCAACAAGCACAACAAACAAATGATTTCCAAGATTTGTAAGCACTTTCCAAAATATCGCGAACCGCGGTACATGATCGGTAAAGCGCCGTTTACACGAGCAATTTTTCCTTGAGAAGTTTTCCTGGACAAGGAAAAATTGCTCGTGTAAATGGGGTAAAATTGACAATTTTTCCTTGTCAAGGAAAAGCCAACATGTTCGCTTTTCCTTGACAAGGAAAAATTGTCATGGACGAAATTGCTCGTGTAAACGGGGTAAAATTGACAATTTTTCCTTGTCAAGGAAAAGTCAACATGTTCGCTTTTCCTTGACAAGGAAAAATTGTCAAGGACGCAATTTGCTCGTGTAAACTGGACAACAAGGAAAATGTGGCAAGGAAAAATTGTCAAGTAAAACTTGTTGACCATTTACACAGGCAATTTTTCCTTGTCAAGGAAAAATTGTTCTTCGTTTACACGAGCAAAGAAGCATTGTCAAGGAGGAATTGTCAAGGTAAACTTGTTGACCATTTACATGGACAATTTTTCCTTGTCAAGAAACTTGTCAAGGAAAAATTGCTCGTGTAAACGGCGCTTAAGTGTCCAGAAGCTTATTTTATATATTTCATTTTTCTGAAAAGACTTGTTATATGATCAAATGTGCTTGTATTGTAATATTTTTGAAAGTATATAAAATGGMAAGAGATATATTTATTTATTACTTATAGACAATCAACTTTGCTCCAAATTCATAACAGTGTTCTGTTCCCATATTTCCTCAGGCTTTAGAGATCTCCAAACAAGGCCTAGAGGATCCTTTTGTTCGTTTTGGACGCCGTTTAGCCCTTGTGCAGAGAGTTAAAAAGATTTCATCGTCAGCATCGTTTAAAAAGAAGAAATCTGAAGATGTTTGTCACATTGAWGAGACACTTCTGAAGGAACCAAMCCCAKCAGAAACAGTAAGACTTGACATGAAATAATGCTGCATTTTTTATGGTAGTRACATTTGAAAATGTTTTCCTCTTTCACAAACGTTTGCTGTATATGAATTTTAAAACCTAACTCTCYAGATAACAATCCAAGGAAAGAGGTCAGAGCAGTTAGCTGTATTCATATCGCACGAGGTGACAAAGAATGGTGAAATACAAGAAGATACGATGACATTCCTCAAAGTGGAAGAGTATGCGCTGTCRCACTATCGTCAAGAAGGCTACGATGAAGGGATTCATGGTGAAACGTCTACGTTCACTACACTTTATGGACTCTTWTTCTGGGATATTATTTTCTTGTGTGGTGTTCCAGATGTGTTTAGAGCACCGTTTCAGGTACTTCGATGCAACTTGCTTTAGATTTTTTTCCATTTTAAAAWGTWAGTCAGCAAAATARTAGAATTTTTGAAAGGGAGAATGATTGAAAAGGGGAATAATTGCTTTTTTTATTATTTTTTGATTTGAATTCGCAACTTGATCAAAATAAATAAATAAATAAATAAAGAGGTGACTATAACATCATGAGTCTTCATCCGTATTTTCTTATATATAAGTTTTTTATCTAAATGTGTTCTGTGCTCTTCATTTTGTAGTCTTCGCCTTTGGATCTCAACTACGATACATTCTACGTAAAGAGAAAAGACTTGATTGACAAACGATTGGAAGAAATACGAAGTTCTTCAACTGAGGTGAATATCAACCTGAAATCTGTTTATACTAAACCCAGAATAAAAGTAATTCCATRGCAACTAAATCCCCAGAATGCCTTGCGCTTTTTTTCACGTTCTTGGCGCTAAATTTTCTCCCGATATACTATTGGAGTCGAAAGAGATAATTATGACAACTCTAGCCAAGTGATTCTTGGCCTTCCATTCTTATCGACCATTTTCATGGAAGAATTGTAGTGAAAAACTTGCGTTTAGTTTAAGCTTATATCTCTTTTTTTCAAGGCTCTTTTAGAGATGTTTGAGMGAAGCTGGACTGACAACGATGGTAGGATTTGTTCTGGCGTCAGTTGGGAGAGATTCAACAGCCTTGAGCAAGCCAAGGTACAAATCATAGAATCAGTGTATTTTTTTCATTTGATTTAAACYTCATGTAAGCCTGGTAATAATCGGATTTCTCACGCTGTTACGTTGTTCCTTGCATTTCTTAATCTCACACGTCGTTCCCTCTAAATAGACCTCTGCAGCTTTTACGTCATAWACCGTATACGCAATGCATTGTAGGATATGTTTGGGACAAAACATGGCGRATTTCTTTTGTTTTCTCTTGAAACTGATCCCACAATGCATTGAAAATCAAGAAGTGACGTAAAAGGTTCAGAAGTCTATTCGCTTCCTCGATTTTCACCCCAAGTCCATCTACACAAACAAAAAATGTGCCAATTCACTGCATAAACACCAAAGTACATTACGTCATAGACTATAAGCATCGCTATTGGAAATACCCTTTTAAATGATGCTATTCTTGCGTGTTTTAGCAATTTGTATCATGTGTTGGTGGCAAGGTATTGTCTGGGGTATTCACACATTTTGCACAAGACATGCGCCATTGGCATTCTGGGATGCCTGACTTGGTGGTCTGGAATTCTTCYAAYCTTCAGTACAGGGTAAGTCCCTGTAAATCCCTGTCTTTATCTTCAAGCTTTCTTAGTTTTTCTTGTATGGCAGTAGATTTCGCATATGCTATTTATATGGTATAAGTTATATGTTATATTATATTATATTATATGGTATAGAAAGCGTGATTAACTAGTCTGTAAACTTACTCTCGGGGTTTAGAGGAGGTTAAGGTTTAGTGGTTAGGGAAGGGGGAAAAAGGACCCGCCCTCCAGCCTGCGAGCCTCATAGCAGGCGAGGATATCTTCGGTTTGGGTCACACAACAACATAAAAAAACACTTATTTTTAAAATAGATTGTAGAAGTCAAAGGTCCTGGCGATAGGCTGTCTACCAAACAACAAATATGGCTATCGGAGCTGGCGTCATTTGGTGCGACCGTTGAAGTTTGTTACGTTACAGGTAAAGCCGTTTGCCGCATACCCCCACCCATCCCCACACAGTTGGTATAAAAACATCTATAAATGTAATCAAGCGGTCAGATTACATCGATGTTACTTATAAAAAGTTATTCATTACAATTCAGAATACTTTCAGAGTATAAATATATGGATAATGCTCAAACTTCGATGGAGTTATTCGTGATTGGATTACAAGTGATGGTCCATGATACCGCACTTGTCTTAGCTATATAAAGGACATTTTCGACTTTTTTGACTTCATTCGATCCGAATAGCCGTGCCTTTAGATCGAAGCGAGACAACCGGTTGAGTTTGCAATGATAGATACCTGTGAATAATTGTCTGTAGGTGTAAAAAAGGTTCTATCATGCCACGCTCAACGGTCGTCTCGCTTTGATGCAAAGGCACGGGTACCTTTCAAATGACGCAGGAGACCGTGAAGGAGACTGTTGACATTTTCTTTTTTTTGTAGCTGTCGGGGGCCGCAAGAAACTTATGGCATCTGCRTCTTCAGATAATTGACATTTTATTGGGGCTACGGTTTTTGAGTTTTAAACCAGAGATCATGAGAATTATTTGCTGCCAACTCATGAGGCATGCTTCTCAGTCCCTCCTAGTCTCCTCGCAGCCGTGTTTAGTTTCGGTCACGCGTCACGCAACCTGTGGAGAGGTTGCGTGACGCGTGACCGAAACTAAACACGGCTGCGAGGAGACTAAGTCCCTCCCTGCGAAAGGAAAAATGCTTGTCTCAAGATATCTTATATAACTGCGAGATTATGCATAGACATTCAGATACTTGAAAGACTCGGCACAATCTAGACACTTAAACAGGCTAATTAAATAAATAAACATATTATTTTCAAGAAATGCATTGGAATTTTACCCTGTGGATCACTTAAAAACACAAAGACCGCAGCAACATCATCATCATAACAACAACAACAACAACAACAACAACAACAACAACAACAACAACATCAACAACAAAACTGTATATATTATGGAGACCAGAGAAACGAACTAATCTCTTTATATTTTCTAATCTCAATCTTGCATTTTATTTCCAGGCTCGCGGGCTTTCTGTGTATCATGCAACTAAAACTATTATTGACATCAGTCACACGTTATTCGAACAAAATTGGGAGCGCATCTTTTGTAGATTTTTTTCTTTCTTTTTTTTCTTCTTTGCAGTCTATATAGTTTTTCTATTTTTGTGTATTAATGTTTTGGCGAATTAATTTTTACTCGTGACCAGGGCCTTGGCCGGGTCACGAGTCATAAAATGCAACGCGTATAGTTTTTTTTTCCAAGTCAGAAGTTTGCCTTCGGGTCTCCTGATCGCCCTCCGATCTATCACGAATTAGTATAAACATACTAATGGTCTATCACTCATACTGCGCTGTGATTGGCTACTCTACTAATGATCTAATTTGTGATAGACCACTCGCGGGAAAATCAA